AACTCAAAAATTGCTCCATTTTAAAAACCCCAATTATGACTTTGGTAACATAATGGCAGAGGAATAGACCACTGATATTATGCACTTAACATTTTTGAGTTTTTATCTATCATGAAGGACTGATTCATTTCACTGCAGATAACTCGAGCCACCGTCAACGACAAGCTGCAAAGGTACGAACTTTCGACTGTCATGTATATTCTCTAAAGCCTTATCAGAAACTTGCAATGAGCAACTAGCATCGGAACCAAAACAGTAAGCTGTTGGTTAGCACATAGATATATTTTGGAAAGAAGGAATGTCACACAGATATTATGAGAATATGAAAGTGGATAGAATATAGTAGGAGAGTTCTAGATACTTCAAGCTTAAGTGAATAGATGTGAAGCGTGAAACAATACTTGCAGCCGCCACGACCAGTGTCTTACTATCCTATAGAAGACAGTGACGATTCCGATAATCTACGAACGAAAAGAAAAGCAACGTCTTTTTTGAACGTCCACAATAACTACGAACATCCAGGTAAGTGCAACTCTGAAAAAATGGATACAGCGAAAAGAAGAAGGGTGTGAAGAAGAAAAGATACGGTCTCAAGTCCACGCAACTGTCAAAAAAAAGAAAGTAGAACTGAAATTTAGGAAGTTTACTTCGCGTTGATCGAGAAACGAGACTTCGCCACGAAAAAGAAAATCTTGAGGCAGAAATCGAAGAGCTCAAGGTAGGCGGCGATTTTTGCATCTCCAATTTCGGTAGTCATTAATTTAGCTTTCAGATGCGAAATCAACGTCTTGTCGAACAACTTCGGGAGAAAAGCGTTCAATTTAGCAAGCTACAGTTTCACGCTCAAAAGCTAGATGAGCAGGTTTCTAATTTCTCCAAAAAATATTTCTTAGTGCATGCAGCCTATTTTTAATCATGACATAAAGAAAGAAATTAATAATTTGAGTGGCATAACCTTGGTTTGCAAAGACAGGATAGTTGGAAAGCTTTCTTATTTGCGTAA